ACTCCTCCTCCGTCAACATGACCCTGAGGAAGGAGACTTAGCGGGTGAATATGTAGCTGAAGGTTACCTCAAGGCTTCGACGTTGTATGTATACAGTCTGTTCTCCTACAGCCTGTCCTCCTACAACCTGTCCTCCTATAGCCTGTCTTCCTATAGCCTGTCTTCCTACAGCCTGTCCTCCTATAGCCTGTCCTCCTATAGCCTGTCTTCCTACAACCTGTCCTCCTACAGCCTGTCCTCCTATAGCCTGTCCTCCTACAACCTGTCCTCCTACAACCTGTCCTCCTACAGCCCGTCCTCCTACAACCCGTCCTCCTACAGACTCTCCCTTCAAAGTCACAGACTACTCCGTACTAAAGATATTGGAATCCCTCATCGTTGAAAATCATGCTGATTTCCGTGGCCCACAGAAAATATATATATATATATATATATATATATATATATATATATATATATATATATATATATATATATATATATATATATATATATATATATATATATATATATATATATATATATATGCAACAATGATCACAAAAACACTGATCCAAGTATGCAGAATAACCACATATGAAAAATAGAAAATGCTTAACGCGTTTTCGGCTAATTCGCCTTCATCAGAGCAAAGTAGAATGAGCATTTTCTATTTTTCATATGTGGTTATTCTGCATATATATATATATATATATATATATATATATATATATATATATATATATATATATATATATATATATATATATATATATATCGGATTAAAACAAATCATTGGGGTTTACACTATTTTCTTTCAGTCTTTAGAGAGATAATTATTTAGTTACTTATCAGACCTGAATGCTTGGAGCCATAGTCATAACAGAGATGAATACCAAAGTCTAGTTCAACTTAATCCTTGTTACACGATGAATTGGATGTTATGTCTGTGTCATCTTGATGAGTTACGTTTATGTGAGATGATGTCAATGCAAAAATAGTGTCTAAATCGTTTGTTTTTTGCAAAACGAAGGTTGTTTATAATTATTATGAGGCTCTTGCTAGCTAATTGGCAGATGTTTCAAGTGCTTAAAAAGCACACTTTGAATCACAGAAAATTATTCCTCTTCCAATGAAATTAGCGTGCTAATAGCTAGTCGAAGTGCAGCTAGTCGAAGTGCAGCTAGTTCTGTTAATTTCGAATTCAGTCAGTTTATAACCTAAGACTGACAGTCAATACACGTGAATTATTTCTATAAAATCAGCAGGTTCACAAAAAATACTTTAATCAAGAGGAAAGTCTACGGACAATTAACGCCACATTCAACTATCTCGCTTCACGAGAACTGATACAACGAAGATTGATGCTTATAGACGAGTAAATCACAATAGTATTATATATCTTTGTGAAAATGATTGGACCAGAACAGGGATCGAATCAACGTTCTGTGTCATCCTAGACTCGCTCCTTAACCATGATAAAATAATAAGCTAAATTACAAAATAATAATTTAAAATAAGTTAAATTGAGTTGACCAGACCATACACTAGAAGGTGAAGGGACGACGACGTTTCGGTCCGTCCTAAACCATTCTGAAGTCGATTGTACGACGTTTCGGTCCGTCCTAAGCCATTCTCAAGTCGATTGTACGACGTTTCGGTCCGTCCTACACCATTCTCAAGTCGATTGTGGACCATTCTCACAATCGACTTGAGAATGGTCCAGGACGGACCGAAACGTCGTCGTCCCTTCACCTCCTAGTGTGTGGTCTGGCCAACTTACTTTAGCCACGTTATTGTAACTCGTCGCCTAATAAGTTAAATTACTTATAGCATATCGTAGTCGAATGAATGAAGACGCACGTCTGTTGAGATTCAGAACGCTGGTTCGATCCCCACTCTGCTCCACTGAATATCGTATTGAGGATTTCCAACGCGCGTGAGTTTGTTCTTTGGTCTGGACAGTAAATAGTTCGAGTCTTCAATTGCTTCGAGTCAAAAGGGAGGATTGTACTAATAACAATGAAAAGTTCCCTCCTTCAGGGGCACAGCTGAGGTTGAGAGGCGAGAGGAAGGGAAGGGAATTATCAAGGGAAAGCGCCAAGCCATTACGACTATACAGCACTGGGAAGGAGTCAGGATAAGGATTTGGGATGGGACGGGGGAAAGGAATAGTGCCCAACCACTTGGACGGTCGGGGATTGAACGCAGACTTGCATGACGCGAGACCATCGCTCTACCGTCCAGCCCAAGTGGTTGGGCGGGCGAAGGGGGACCCTGCTAGAGAAGTCTGAATGAATGGCCAATTCTTAAAATCTATTGGACGCTGTACGGAGATTGGGTCAGTTCAGGATTGGTTTGTGGAGCAATTTATAAGTTGACTGGTGGAGAGTTGGCTGTATATTATATATTATACAAGGTATATGAATTAATTTGTCAAGATCTAACAGACATAAGGTAAGGGACTTCCTGTCATTTTTGTCAGCAACTTCAGAACTGATGTTACCTTACCTTGTTACCTTGTTACCTTGTTACCTTGAAGTTACCTTGAAGTGTTAACTGCGTCTAACCAGGCTGTTAGACGCAGCTGCTCGCAGCCTGACGTCAGAATCACAGCCTGGTTGATCAGGTATCCATTGGAGGTGTTTATCCTCCAAACACCTCCAAAGGATTACATACAGAGATGACACTAACGTGATGCATCAAATGAACAAATCCACAAGGGCCGTGACGAGGATTCGAACCTGCGTCCGGGAGCATCCCAGAAAATGCCTTAATCGACAGAGCTACGACAGGGTAAAACGGTTGAAACCGAAGTTCTACTGAACTTACTGGAACTTACTGTGTGTAATGATGTAAGGGCGAAGAGGGAGAACGGCCTATTGACATAGCTCGGGTGCAGGGGGGAGTTGTCTAAAATCCTGATTTGTGTCTCGGAGAGGCTACGGGATCCATTAAGTTCAGTAGAACTTCGGTTTCAACCCTTTTAACCCTGTCGTAGCTCAGTCGATTAAGGCAGTGTCTGGGATGCTCCCGGACGCAGGTTCGAATCCTCGTCACGACCTCCAAAGGATACCTGATGTTTCAGGTGATGTAAAAGATGCCCTTCTTTACCCAGGCCCCGTTGAGGCCTGGAGATTAGGAGACCGCGGGTTAAGTAAATCCATTACAACCAAGACCTAAAGACATTATTTTGCCCGAGTAGAACACAAAATGCATCCTTGTTTTCAAGGATATTTTCATCCTTGCTGGATGAAAGTTTTCTTTCTATTTGCTGAAAGTTTTCTTTCTTTTGAAAGTTGTTGAAAAAACAGTTTTCTCCTGGCAGCCAACTTATGACTTCACAATATATATCTTCACCATAACACTAAACACACACTAAATGCAACACAGCCAAACACAAGGTCATTTCTTAGATATAATACCCGTACAGCGACCGGTATCTTGAGGTTATCTTGACATGATTTCGGGGCTTTTTAGTGTCCCCGCGGCCCGGTCCTCGACCAGGCCTCCACCCCCAGGAAGCAGCCCGTGACAGCTTGACTAGCACCCAGGTACCTATTTTACTGCTAGGTAACAGGGGCATAGGGTGAAAGAAACTCTGCCCAATGTTTCTCGCCGGCGCCTGGGATCGAACCCAGGACCACAGGATCACAAGTCCAGCGTGCTGTCCGCTCGGCCGACCGGCTCCCTCGGTATATAGAGAAACAATAACGAATAAGAGAAAAGAGAAAATATACTACAATAATAAAAGCATTCTATGAATGTAGGCAAAAGCAGTATGAACTACAGCAGACAACCAGCTGAGATCAGCAGCTTACACTTCACATTCTCCAGTAAGCTGACGAACGTAGCTTTGTATTCCGAGCGTAGCTTTGTATTCCGAGCGTAGCTTTTTATTCCGAGCGTAGCTTTGTATTCCGAGCGTAGCTTTTTATTCCGAGCGTAGCTTTTTATTCCGAGCGTAGCTTTTTATTCCGAGCGTAGCTTTTTATTCCGAGCGTAGCTTTTTATTCCGAGCGTAGCTTTTTATTCCGAGCGTAGCTTTTTATTCCGAGCGTAGCTTTTTATTCCGAGCGTAGCTTTTTATTCCGAGCGTAGCTTTTTATTCCGAGCGTAGCTTTTTATTCCGAGCGTAGCTTTGTATTCCGAGCGTAGCTTTGTATTCCGAGCGTAGCTTTGTATTCCGAGCGTAGCTTTGTATTCCGAGCGTAGCTTTGTATTCCGAGCGTAGCTTTGTATTCCGAGCGTAGCTTTGTATTCCGAGCGTAGCTTTGTATTCCGAGCGTAGCTTTTTATTCCGAAAAAGTGTCTCTTCCTGTTGGGGTCCTGTAGAGACCTGAGGAAGTCCATGGACTTGTAAGGTGAGGTCCCCACAGGCAGTGAGGGACCACACGAGGCAAATCCCATATATATATCTATCCAAACCCATTCATATATGTGTCTAACCTACGCTTGAAACAATCAAGGGATCCCATGTCTATTATCTGGTAATTTGTTCCATAAATCAATATCCCTATTTCCAAACCTGTATTTACCCAGGTCTTTCCTGGATATAAACTTGTCCAATTTATATTGTTTTGGGCTCTATTTTGAGTTGATATATTTAAAGTCATATTGCTATCCTTTTTGGAATACCTTTTCATTAATGTATATATTTCAATCATGCCTGCACTTATTCTTCAGCTTAATAGGGATTCTATAAGTTAAGAAATCTAATTTTAATTAAATAATAATAATCTAATTAATCTAATTACTAATAATCTAAGATTTTTTAATCTCCTAGGTTTGTCAGCCTTCGCTAAATGTGTAATTGTTGATATTAATGTGCATAAATGCATGTGTGTGTGTGTGTGTGTGTGTGTGTGTGTGTGTGTGTGTGTGTGTGTGTGTGTGTGTGTGTGTGTGTGTGTGTGTGTGTGTGTGTGTGCGTGCGCACGCGCGTGCCACCTAACTAATTAGCAGGGGGGTATAACAAAGTAGAGTAAACTAATAGAGTGCACTTTACGCTTTTCCTACAGAGTGGGGACCAGAAGCTGGAGCTCAACCCCAGCATCAGGGCCAAGAGGAACTCCAGGATCATTGAAGGTAAGACCGGCACCTCACACCGCCACGCCAGAGACCAAGGTCACAAGGTCTTGAAATACAAGGTACAGGTAGTATAATAATATTAATAATTACGGGCTATTCATGCCCGTGCCACCTTTTGGATGGCTTAAATCTTCCTTAATCAATCTCGGACACTAGGTAGCATTTACAGCCCCGCTCCTGTGCCAGGTAAGTTCACTACGGGTTCACCATAGCCCGTGCTACTTGTTACAGCCCCGCTCCTGTGCCAGGTAAGTCCACTAGGAACCCCCAGGAACCCCCAGGAGCCCACAGAAGCCCCCAGGAGCCATCAGGAACCCCCCAGGAGCCCCCAGGAGCCCACAGAAGCCCCCAGGAGCCATCAGGAACCCCCCAGGAGCCCCCCAGGAGCCCACAGAAGCCCCCAGGAGCCATCAGAAACCTCCAGGAGCCCCCAGGTGCTCCCAGAAGCCCCAAGGAGCCCCTAGAAACCCCCAGGAACCCCAGGAGCCCCTAGGAACCCCCCAGGAGCCCCTAGGAACCCCCAAGAGCCCTTAGGAGCCCCCAGGAACACCAAGGAGTCCCCAGGAACCCCCAGGAGCCCCCAGAAACCCCCAGGGTCCCCCCAGGAGCCCTCAGGAACCCCCAGAAACCCTCAGGAGCTCTCAGGAGCCCCCAGGAGCCCCCAGAAGTCCCTAGGAACCCCCAGAAGCCCCCAGAAGCCTCCAGGAACCCATAAGAGCCCCCAGGAACCCCTAGGAGCCCCCAAGAGCTCCCAGAATCCCCTAGGAACCCCCAGAAGCCCCCTAGGAACTCCCAGAAGCCCCCAGGGACCCCCAGAATCCCCTAGGAACCCCCAGAAGCCCCTAGGAACCCACAGGAGCCCCCCAGGGAGACTGTCATCCCGCTACCCATAACAATGTTGACAGACGTAACAGGTGTGTCAACAAGGAATAGTTCAGAGAGGCGCCGACAGATGCCAGCAGCGGGAAGACTAAGTCTCCACACCTGTGTTTGGTTTAACTCAATTACCGCCTATCTCCACACTGCCTCAGGAAGCAACGCTAAAGAAAACGGGTGTGTGTGTGGTTTTTGTTTACTTTTAGATGTAAAATTGAGTTGCCATCGACGGGAAGTAATTGCAAATCAATATTAGTAATATTTAAGTCTGGTGAAAACCCGTTTCTGAAAATGTGGATTATATTTGAGGCAATATGTTCTCTAGGAACTGGGTTGTTAGGAACGTCTTTCTAGTTTTCTAGCCAATTGCGTTGCAATGTTCACTTTAAAATATGCGATGCTATGCATAGGAAAGTTGTGTATTAAATCACTAACCAGTGGACACAACGTCGAATACCAACGCCATTTGAACGTCGAATCGACGTCATGAACGTCGAACCAACGCCACGTTTGTATATTGACCTCAATGGATACTGATATCAGGTCATCACCTACATTTATTGACCTCAAACAACAATTCCCATGGCATTATGCAGAATAATAGAACGTCTCGAGTCCAAGTCCCTACGACCCTCTCATCTCACTGACAGAACAACTAACCGATATCTTTAAGGTTATCTTATTACCCAATCGTCTTGACATCTCTGGAAGATATGCACCCATGTTGACCAGATCACACACTAGAAGTTGAAGGGACGACGACGTTTCGGTCCGTCCTGGACCATTCTCAAGTCGATTGTGAGAATGGTCCAGGACGGACCGAAACGTCGTCGTCCCTTCAACTTCTAGTGTGTGGTCTGGTCAACATACTTCAGCCACGTTATTGTGACTCATCGCCTGCATATGCACCCATGACCCCCCACCACCCCTCCATCCCCCACCATCAACTCCTTGATGGTGGGGGATGGCAAACACCAATTTCCGTTCCTACTCAACCTGCCAGCCTTCAACCGGCGTTCTATCCGCCAATATCCCTGTCAACCACTCCGCCGCCCCGGCCCCCTTGGCTACTGAGAGTGGACGTTACTGCACTCTTCTCGCAGCATATGTGAATAGAACCCCAGAGGGAAGAGTGAGTGAATACTTGTACTCACCTAGATGTACTCACCCAGATGTGGTTGTGGGACGGGCGAGGGTTCTAGCCCTGTCTTTAGGACGGAAGCGGCTCCTAGCCTCGTCTAAAGAACGGGCGTGGCTCCTAGCCCCGTCTACAGGACGGGTGTCTCCTGATAATTCCCTTCCCTTCCTCGCCCCAGAGACAGTAGAAAGAACTTTTTCAGCGTCAGAGTAGTTAGTAAACAGAATGCACTAGGAAGTGATGTGGTGGAGGCTAGTACTTAGGTTTCTGAAGGACGTTCAAACTTTTGTCAGTGTTGAGTACGCTGCTGTCATTATCTTATTTACTTGTGCCTCAGGAGTTAGATTTGGTGTTACGTCCACTTCCAGGTTCCTTTCTCGAATCGTCACAGGAAGATAGTTTCCCTTCAATGTGTACTGTCCCTTTGGTCTCCTGTCACCTAATCCCATTTCCATAACTTTACACTTGCTTGTGTTAAACTCCAGTAGCCATTTCTTTGACCATCTCTACAGCTTGTTCAAGTCCTCTTGGAGGATCTATCAATCCTCATCTGTCACAACTCGTATCATTATTTGTGCGTCATCCGCGAACATCGACATATAGGATTCGACTCTTGTAGACATGTCGTTCACACATATATTCGAAACAGAACTGGTCCCAACACCCATCCCTGAGGTACTCCACTCATTACTGTTCGCCAGTCTGACTTCTCGTCCCTGACTGTTACCTTCTGGCTCCTGTGTGTTAAGTAATACCTTACCAAAGCTTGGGCTTTTCCGCTTACTCCCGCCTGCCTCTCAAGTTTGAATCCGGTACTGAATCAAAGGCTTTTTGGCAGTCCAGAAATAAGGTGTCTGCCTATCCTTCCTTGTCCTGCTTTATTCTTGTTACTTTACCATAGAATTCCAGAAGGTTTGTTAGGCATGATTTCCCTATCCTTGAACCCATGTTGGTGTTTGTTTACATACCTAATGTTCTCTAATTTTGCAGCCAATCTTAAATTGATTATTCTTTCAAGCACTTTACGGGGAATGGTTGTCAGTGATAATGATCTGTCGTTACTTGCCTCTACCATATCTCCTGTTTTAATATTTGGTACCACGTTTGCCTTCTTCCAGCCACTAGGGAACTTTCCCGTCGAAAGGGACTCATTATGGCTCCTTGCCAGAGGCACGCTGAGGGCCTGCGCTGCCTCTTTTAGTATCCACGGTGATACATTGTCTGGTTCAACTGTTTTAGTTTCATTCAGTGTTGTTAGTTGCTTTATCACCTCCTCTGCTGTCACTTCTATATCCGTTAGTCTATCATCTTGAGTCATATCCTCTTCTAACAATGGGAGCTGTTCAGGCTCGGTGGTGAACACTCCATGGAAACTGGCATTCAGTTCTTCACAGATTTTTTTGTTGATTTGTATATGCCTCTTCTGTTTTCCTTAGTCTTGTCACTTGGACGTTCGCCGACATTTTCCTTCTTATATGACTATGTAGTAATTTAGGTGTGTGTGTGTGTGTGTGTGTGTGTGTGTGTGTGTGTGTGTGTGTGTGTGTGTGTGTGTGTGTGTCTGTGTGTGTGTGTGTGTGTGTATGTGTGTGTGTGTGTGTACTCACCCAGTTCTACTCACCTGCCCCTTCCCTTCTTCCCTCTTACCTTAGTGGGCTCCCTTTCAACCTTCCCTTCTTCTTTGTTTCCCTTCCCTGTCTCAATCCCACTCTACACTCTTATTCTCCTTATCTCACCCCTCCTGCCTCTCTTCCCTACTTCCTCCGTCCCTCTCGTCAGCATCCCTTTCTCTTGGGGTCTAGACAGTGACGTCATAAGCCTTCAAAATCCCTCCTTTTTTATTGTTTAATGTGGACACTTGGTCAGGTGGCGCTGAGGCCTTGGTGGCTCACCCCAGCCACACTCACTCTAGCCACACTCACTCTAGCCACACTCACTCTAGCCACACCTACACCAGCCACACTCACTCTAGCCACACTCACACCCAGCCACACCTACACCAGCCACACTCACTCTAGCCACACTCACTCCAGCCACACCTACACCAGCCACACTCACTCTAGCCACACTCACTCTAGCCACACTCACTCTAGCCACACCTACACCAGCCACACTCACTCTAGCCACACTCACACCCAGCCACACCTACACCAGCCACACTCACTCTAGCCACACTCACTCCAGCCACACCTACACCAGCCACACTCACTCTAGCCACACTCACACCCAGCCACACCTACACCAGCCACACTCACTCTAGCCACACTCACTCTAGCCACACTCACACCCAGCCACACCTACACCAGCCACACTCACTCTAGCCACACTCACACCCAGCCACACCTACACCAGCCACACTCACTCTAGCCACACTCACACCCAGCCACACCCACACCCACAAGTGTAGCTTTGCTAATAAGAAAAGGTTGGAGTTTTGAAGAGATGGTAATTCAGAACTGTGAAGGTTTCAGTGACTACATATCAGGCACCATAGCAACTGGAGGACAGAAAATTATAGTAGTAGTCATATATAACCCCCCACCGAATGACAGAAGACCCAGACAGGAATATGATAGAAACAACTTGGCCACTATCAATATAATAGAGAGAGCAGCTTCTGTGGCTAGCAGGAACGGATCCAGACTACTAATCATGGGAGATTTCAACCACGGGAAGATAGATTGGGGGAACAGAGACCCACATGGAGGCCCAGACACATGGAGAGCTAAACTGCTGGATGTGGCAACAAGAAACTTTCTAAGGCAACACGTCAAGGGACCGACAGGAATGAGAGGAGAGGACAAACCAGCTTTGCTTCATCTGATGCGGCTCCAGCATGGAGTCCATATCTAGTCAAACATATGACTAAACTGGAAAAGGTTCAAAGGTTTGCCACCAGACTAGTACCCGAACTGAGAGGTATGAGCTACGAGGAGAGACTACGGGAATTAAATCTCACGTCACTGGGAGACAGAAGAGTTAG